TATTATACATTTAAAACTAAATTAGAAAAAATTACTGTTGAAATTAATTTGATTTGATTTAAGGGAAACAAACATATACTGTTATTTGACTAAACCTCATCACCAAAGGCAGGCACAAAATATTGAATATAAGAAAAAAACCTTGAAGAAAGCAAGCACACAGAAGCATTTATTCTAATGCACTAACTTTCTCCTTTTGAGAATAAAAAGTCTTTCAACACTATAAAAAAATAAATTATATTCAACACTATAATAATAAAAAAAAAGAAGTTTAGAAGTTAGTAACCCCAATGATGTAAAGAACAAAGGAATATGGTACCATATCAAGGCTAAGTTAAATGAAAGGGATGTAGATTAAAAGCAAAAAAAATCCTTAAAGATCAAGTCTATCACCACTAGTATCTAACTTTAGTTTTTAGCCATTCATCAAGCAAAGCATTCCTATCCCACACTGCACTTTAAAAAGCAAACAAACCAAGGGATCTAAGCTTTTAAAAGCAATATGAACTATTGTGAGAGGTCTCTACACAAAGAGACACTCATTATCCAAACTGATAAAATATTTTTGGTTAGGTATAAGATGCATACAGAATTTAAATGCAACTGACCAATTAATCAAAACTGACACATTTTTTTAAATACCCAACAGCAATGTCCATTTCCTGACAGAAAGGCATCCTTCCTGCCCACCATAGTATTTTCCAGCTCTCCAACACACGTTCTTGAGGGAGAAGGGCGTAGGGGGTTAATTTTTACAAACTGTTAACACTGGTGATAAAACATTTATTTATAGCAGACTATTAATGTACTAGGATAGTCTCACCGTGTTAAAAGACAAAGATTACTCTTTGAAGACTTTGTACTCCAACAACCCATACATCCTCAAGAGAGGAAACCACACAGTCAGTGACGCAACTTGTGGTTGGTTTTGACTATTACAGCAAAACGGTTTCCTCCACCCACCTGAGCCTAGATTACGAGACACAGCTAGCTAAAATAATATTAAAAGCAGTAAACAATTTTCATAGCTTTTAAGAAAATGGTCGATCAAGTTGAGCCAACAGCTGCAAGAATAATTCTGGCTTGTAGTTACAGTCCTAGTGGAATTCGGAGAAAAGTATCTGCAAGGGGAAGCTTTAAACGGGTATACCTGATGATGGAATGAAAACAAGCTCTGTGACTGTATGGCATATTTTGCAAAGGCTATGTTAAAGCCAAGTTTCTATCTTCAAACCACATTTCAACCCATTCTCCACAACTTAACTGATTTTGGTTTGTTTTTTAAAAATTTGTGTTTACATAGAGTAACACATCACAAGGATTTTGAAAAAAAAAATCACTAACTGCAAAACACAGTTCGTAAATCTCAACTTCTTTGCTTGTACCTCTGAAGTGCCATTTCAATCTCCTTCATCTATCTGCTATTCTAACTTTTCACTAACTTATAACTGCATTAGCAGCATGCATATTTGAATACACCTAAAACAAGAGTTCTAAAATAAAACGAGTCCTAATATTCACTTTTGAAAATTAGAGCTGTAGTACAATTTTTAAAAATTCAACCATATGCATCTAGAAAAGGATAAAGAAAAACTGAGCGGGTACCAAAAGATGTAAAGGATTTTCTTTTGCAAAGCTTTAAACTGTTTGGAAATTGTTTATTCTAAGCTGACATTTTATTTAAATATCCTATTCAGCAATTATGAAAGCAACTTCATCCCACATTTTATTTCCACTAAAATTCACCAGTTTTGTGTCAAACTCGTCCTAACAATGGAACTTTGTCCTTCTTAAATACTGGGGAAAAGGGATCCACAATGACATTTCATATAGAATATATCACATGCTGGCTTAATCATGTAGAAGTCAAATCTTCTGCCAACTAAAATATTAAAACAGAATATAAAGTGCTGGTAAAGAATAAAACTGAAATGTATATCAATTATTTTTTAATGAAATGCTTGTGAAATCACTGCAGCCAATTAGAGTGTGCTAGAAATATTTATCAATCTTAGATCTTGTGAGTTTAATAAGTACGTCTCTACATTGTAACACTTGTATCACTATACCAGATCATCCTCAAAAATAATGATTTCATCTTAAAACTTGCAATCCCAGAAATGTTCTGAGGACAGTAGACAGAGAAAACGGAACTGCTTCTGGCAAGGTTAACCTGTTCAGGTGGCATTAGGATAAATATCTTTGAAGACAAGGTTTATGAAATGAAACTTACAGAAAGAATTTCCTTTTAGAGAAAAAACAAGGGAGCTTCTAATCTTTGGTAAGGACTTTAATTTTTAGTTTAAGAAATAAAAGTGGAAGTGCTTTTAAAAATAGTCTCAAATTATTCCAATAGTTTTTAACATGAAATCATAAAAGTGATATTGATCATTTAAAACTATTTGTCATTTAAACAAATCTTTATTTTACAGTTAGACTAATGCCATTTAATTTTAGATACCTACAGGTGAATTCACACTTTCCTTGTTACCGTAGGACATAAAAATGTACACCAGTGATAATACAGTGTGTACATTAATAGGCAAACTGCCAAGACCTGCCATCTGGAGAGCTAATGAACAATCAAGGGATCCCAAATTAAACTATAGAATTTTCCCTTAGAATCTTTAGGACAACACTGTCAAGTTCAATCTATTCACTTAGCCTCCAGAATCAATTTTTCAAACTTTATGACAGGTCTAATAGTTTCCACCTGTTTCTCTTGCTTGACTTTTGACTGGCACGTTACCAGCCAGGGTGGAAATGCAGACAAAGACCCCTATTAGGCTCCGGCTGTTTCTCTACTGTGAGGTCGCTCAGCCATTAAATTAGTTCCAGCCCACTTTCTCCTTCCATGTCTTAATTTTAGGGGGGTATGAAGGTTTGGGGAAGTAGAAAGCAAGAGAGTCAAAAGTCTGACATTCAGCTGGTGGGAGAGGTATAAGAAAATCTAAAGTCACTAAGTTAAATAAATTTACTTATAATTTACTAAGAAAAAAAATGTACTAGCTAAATTTGCTACTAACCACACTAATTAAGTTCTTGCGGTGTTTGTATCATATTTTCAGTCATCACTAACTTGGTAGAGTTGGAGACACCTAAGAGGTCTATCATGTAACATGTGCTCATTGCATTATATGATTACATACACATATATGATATACATTACATGGTATGGCAATTTTTTTCTGGGAATCACAAATGATCAATAGGTACCAATTTTTTGTTCAAGCAAAGAAACTATTTTTTCTTGAGATATGGTTTCCTTTCATTCAGAAATGGCAATTAGAAAAAAGTGACATACTACATACATAAGGGACACTAACAAATTCCTATTGGTTAATTTGGAAATACCTCGAAAATTCAACAACTTTTTTTCTTCAATAAAAATTACCTAATAGGTATTTGCATCCATTTCTAGTGATTTATGAAATGTTATCATCTGAGAAGCCTCAAGGCACTTTGCTGAATGGAAAATCACATGGACTACATTATTCTATTATCCATGACAACAAAGTATTTACAATGACATCAACCGTAATACTTAAGACAAATATTTTAACTTATTAAAATAAAGGTCTTTCTGAATGATAAATTTAATTGTTCAAATTATAATCTGACTGCGAGCACCTTCACAGTATGAACTACTTAGAGCCATGTAATGGCTAGGAGTTTACATCTTACCTGAAAATTGAGTACTCGAGCTGCATCATGATGAGAAAAATCTTGAAGACCTACATCTTTAAACACTTCATTACCTATGGATTACTTAACGTAAAAAAGCAACCTGAGCGCTGACCACTCAGCTGTTACAGCACTTGAGAAATAAGATAGTAGAAGTTCCACAGTCTTTGAAAAACGAAGACCACTTCTCTTAGCTCCCTTGCCTTTCTTGATAATATAATCATATATAAATTGGCCACATGCAATTCTCTTTAGCTTGTGATATCCAAATAAATTCACAAAACTCTGTATTATATACTTCATCTTACTGAGATGTTGGAATAACATTACTGAGAACCACCACGAAAAACAACTGTCAGAAAAGAAAGGTCTTGACCTATTAAATTATCACTTAGTCGGTTTCTTCACAGTACTTCTGCTTTCAATCCAATGGGCTGACCATGCTGTGAATACTAAAAACTAAGAAGGAAATGCTACAAATGCTTCAATAAAGTAACTCGCTTGTTTGTGGCCTCTTATTGCACTAGCATATCTGTGTACATCCAAAAGCCATATTCAAGAGTAGCTGTCAAGAAAAGTGATAGGTCCACGTAGAAACATACATAGAAAAATCTGTCCTGAAGAGCAATGATTTCCCAAAGATGTTTTTTTCCATCAGACTATTTCATGAAACATAACAGTATAGTCTTTGTACATAGACTCCAACCTAAGATTTAGTAACTGTGATTTTCATGTTGCTTAATCCCATTCAAAACTCTAATGAACTGCCTTCTCAAAGGTATCCCACAATTCATTTACAAGAGTCATCCATGTGATGACGAAAGAATATCTAGCATAACCTTAATCAGTGTTTTAAAAATCCAAAGCACTAAAGAGCATTTTAGTGAAATATCGAGTAAAAGGAATGAGACAAAACAGTAATATTAAAATTAAGGCGACAATCTAATTGGTATCACTTCTGTCATATAACTATCTTGGAAAATAACCTGTACTAGAAAATGCATATAATCTCCTAAATATTTAATAACTTAAAATCTCCTGTGGTGCTATTCATGCTTTGCAAGAGGAATGATTAAACTCCACTGCCAAGTGAAGAGTTTTCTGATTTCGCCACCCTTTATGGCTTAGTATTTTACACATTATCAATTAATATTCTGTGAACACAAAGATCTAGAAGATAATCAGCTTTCTTTTACTTTGGCAGGCAACAAATAAATGAAAGAGAAAAAAAGTTTCTTTCTGAACATTGTGTTTTACTATAATTGTGAATTTCAGATTAGAAAGCTTATTTGGTATGGTCCAGATCACTGTCTTACCCATCTAGAAGATTCATTGTTGTTGTGGTAACTTCAGTAAAAAGAAAAATCTTTCCAAGCTTCTTTGTTTGAAGATTCTGTTGATATGTCTTCAGGCTGAAATGCTCTGATGAGAAACTTCCCATCTCAGTGATGACCGGCATGAGAGATGGAGTTATCTCCATTTTTGATTCCCAGGATGAAACAAATTTAAGAGACACCTTGCTGGATGCTCTTAATCCTTCAGCATCTACATTTCCCTCAAGCCATTTCAGAAAAGCAAGATGGATTTCCTGTGGGCAAGGGAAATAAAATAAATCATAGAAATATAGACCATCACATGTGAAGACACACAAACATTCTTTTGAGAACATTTTTTATTCAAGCAATCATCTTCTACTTCAAAATAGGAAAACTACCTCCGTTTCCTCTTCAAAACTTCTGCTGCTCGTTCTAGTCCAGCCTGGCATCACTACTTGGTAGTCTTGGTACTACCTAGCACTTGAGACCACGTTCCTTTGCACTTTAATTAGGCTTAATCTTCCCCTATAACAGGGTTTCTAGTGGTTCTGAAGCATGAGTCCGTATTATGCAGGTTTTTCAACATACTAAAATTCTTTGCTGGAAGGCCTTTAGTCGATTGCTAAGGCTCAATTAGAAGGATAAAGCAGCAGCTAAGAAAACCATTTACTGATTTGTCAGCAGAATACCTGCTAAAAGGGCTTATACCTTCAGCTAAGAAGTTACTATTACCTTAAATATAGACAAAAGTGGCTGTTAATTAGCTAGCTAAAAGAGCAGCTGTCTACTACCAGTGTATGAAATGCAGTTCTGTGTGTGCTCTGTTGTCCTTGTCACAGCCAATGGCAATGCTTATACATATTTCTGTGCAAAAGATTCTAAATATGAAATATACATGTACATGCATATATAATTTTCTAGATCTACACACCAAAACCTTGATTTTTCTCTCCTTTATTTCAGATTATTTAGAAATATTTTTGTTTTGTCTTCATGTGAAATTCAGACATGAATTAGTTGATTATTACCTGTCTGGTGACACTCTGAAAACACTGTTAACACATTCACAGTACTCTTCCTGGAGATATCGAATTCTATTTTGAGAGATTTGATATTAAATGTTTGCCATGTCTTTAGAGATTGTCAGTTAACAGCCCACAAACAAAGACACTGGGATTTCTTTTTGCTAAGTGTGTAGCTTAAATTTCGAAGAGCTCTCCTCATGGAGACCAAGCAGTCTTTTATATGATACATGAAAACACAAAAATTGTGTATTCTATTCTACTGAAAATAATGTACTAGAGATTCTTGCCCTCAAATTTTTAAGAGGAAGACATTTGACTTTTAAATAAAAAGTTCCTAAACAAATATATGCTCCTCCTTCCCGCTACTGCCATATCTGGTAACTAGAATATGAGTGTGTCCTATGTGAGTGCTGAAGACAGGACTAAGCTCTCTTGTCCTTGAACAAGATGTCTCCAATATCCAGCCCAATCTTTAAACCCCAAAATCTTCAATTAAGAGCAAACGCCTTATAAACAGTTATCTATCCAAGGAATTACTTCAATTTTCCAAATCCCATTGTTATATCTTAAGGAGGAATGAGAAAAGTGGTCCTGTTCCTAACACCTTTCTATAGATTTTCCATCCTTGGAAACTACACATTCTCAAGTTTCACGTGGACACTGCTTCTTGTATGACGTTCTTTGTATGCTGAATGTCAGCATACTTACTGGTTTGCAGCCCTGTAAGCCCTGTAGTATGGGCAGCAGAGCATAACAGGAAGAAAGAAACAGTCTCTTTCCAAATGCAATAAGGCAGTAGTTTCTAAGCCCCAGGACAACCTAAGAGCAACTCAGTAGCTAAATTTTAGTTGCAGAGAAATTATTTCTCATTTCTTGGTTTTCTAAAGCTCCACCTGAACTCTTTCCATCCAAGTTCTTGGAAAAAATATGCTTTAACTATTTTCTGTCTGTCTTTTTTTTTTTTTTTGCATATGCATCATAAATGATGATGTGGCATTACAGGTTTTATAAGCATTTCTTTGACTTGATCTATATGAAGCACTTGTATCTTCACTTAGCGTTATATCATATAATAACATAGCTTTGACAGACTGCTGCTAAATTATTTACACACTATCCTACTTGTTTTATACATACATAGTAACTTATTAGCTGTCATTGATATTTAGAAAAATTGTAGCTTTCATTCTTTGAGGGAGTATATGGAACTGTGCTTAATCAGAAAGTGCATTTTCCTATTGCTTTCCAAACACAGCAATTCACTTAGCATAACTGAGCATGCAAATCCTAGAAACAAAAATGTAATTTTAACTCACATAAGGATGGATTTACAGACTTACAGAAACAGACATTAAGTTAAAAAAATAAAGGTGCTTAAAGTATTATTACATTCTAAACAAACAATGAAGGTGCTCGATACTATGCGTCAGAAAGTCTGGTGTAACTTTTGCCATAGTATACTTTCTGAAAAAACTAAAATACCATATATTTATGTGTGATGTTACATTATTACAAATATGCCACACAATTCCTACTATTTATCCTCTTGAGTGTATTCTTTCATGTGATTTTTTTTCCCCATAGTTTTCAGGTTTACTTCTTGATTTAATTTTCTTGTTTCTAACACATACTGAACCATTTAAGAATTGTTACATATGTATAATTATGAAGGTAATTTTTCCCATAATGTACACATTTATTGAGCAGATCAACAATATAAACATGAGTACTACATTATTAAGAACAGCATTTGATTTTTAAAAATTCCTAAAAATATGATTTTGCATTTTTAACGAAGCAAAGTTTCAAGTACTGTCCGAGTACATGCTTGAAAACTTAACTGAACCTCCTTCACACAAAGTTACAGAAACACGGATGCTGAACCAATGCATTTCAGTCACCACAATTATGCTGCCACACAAAGAAGCACATTTTTGTATAATGAAATAAATGTATACAAGAAGTCACGGTTAACCTCTGCTTCAACTCCATTTGAAAGGAACATAATCACGTCAGAACCTGAACCGTGCGATTTGTTGCCCAAATTCAGGATTTAGCTTTGAATTCAAAACCTGTCCTCAGCTGCGTCCGCCGTTCTGCAGCAACCTCTGGTGGCCATTTAAATGAAAACCCTTGGTTCAGGAACTCTCTGGCCTTCTGCACTTCAAGGACCAGATCAGGCACGTAAGCAAGGCACCCAACACATGGTAAGGGAATACCCAAACTCCTGGTCAATGCTTACCCTGACAATTATCAAAATCCTAAAACATGCAGGTAGAAGCATTAAGCGAGTATGCAATCAAAAAACCTGTAGCTGTTACACATTCAGGCACTGAGGACAGTATCTGCAGCTACTTACATATACAATCGCATTAAAATCTGTATTATGCATACTATCAGCAATGTAATGTATGTAGTAATGTGATATAAATAGAACTATAAATAGGTGGAACAAACATTCTGAAATTGTTCATCATTACTGCATCAGTTTTGGATAGGAGAACTGAAGTCAAGCCACATTTAGATTTCTTATAATAAAAACCACATTTTATATGTCCATTCTCTGAAGTAAAGATATTGCCTTCTTTCCTGAAGAATTGATATGTCAAATAAACTTAGTGACAAGAGAGCTAATCAGCTTTTCATACTTAAAGTAACCAACTGCAAATTTAATATTTATAACGAGAATTTTTTTATCCATATTTTAAATGGTAAAAGCACAATATATTTTCAATGCCTAGTAAAAAACAACTACAAAAAGCAGAAAAGCACTATGCCAACAGGAACTACCCAACATATCACTAAGAAATTCACATCCAGCACTCCAAAGTACAACTTAAATCCTCCCAGACAGAAGCACAGAGAGAGATGAAATTTCAAAGCAGTAACAGCCTCACTGAATCCAGGGACAAACCGATGAACCAGCAGAATTTTAACTGTCAGATTGGGAGTCTCACTAAATGAAAAGTTTTTCTGAGCAAACAGGGAGATACAGTGGATGTTAATTCATGAAATTCATAGAAATAGAGAATTAAGCTATGGCATACTGCATCCCCTCAGCTCCTCCACTGATCAGCACAAAGGTTTATTAGAAGTCACTGTATCGAGGATCGGAGGTCTGACATTGCAAGTTGTTGAACTAAGGTTTAAATGGCAATTATAAAGAAGAAAGAGTAGAAGCTGCATTTTGTTTATGATTTAACATCTGTTTTCTATGATTCTAAGTTTGGTCAGGTATGTGAAGAAACTGCTACGTAACAGAAGTTTTCTTTTGCTGTTTAAAATTCTTTTTATTTTTGTAATTATTAGTTTCACTGCTTCCTAACTCTTACTTAGCAGTTGAGATTGAATAAAAGAGAAAAAAAGAGGGAGACATATGAGAAAAGTTAGCTGTTGTTGTCGCATAAAATAACAAAATTACAGCTTCTGATAGAGAAGATTTTATTCGCACCTAGGCTCTATCAACCAATGAGACCCACAAAGCACACAAACTTTCATTTATAATGGTCCAAAATAATCCTTAATCCAAGCCTTTGGTCTTGCATTCTACTTACATATATAATTTTGATATGTTTTCTTATTTTTATACGTATGTTCATATACACACACAGATATATTCAAGTATGTCTCTCACTGGGCATATTCAGGAGCTGCTCTTTTCTATCAAACTCTATGACGATAGATCTTTAACTCTCTATCAATGGAATTCTTTGTTGAGACAAAATTCAGTCACAGCCTAAATTCATTTGGTTTCTATTAAAACATGGAGGCGAAACTAAACGAAAGCTAAAAATATAATGCCATAAAACAAACAAACATTATACATCCGTCAGCTCTCCCTTTTTTATGGGAGGAAAAATGAGAAAATTTTAACTACTGATGCTCTATCCAATGACTCAATATTGTGCCTATAATATAATACTCTATTTTAGCTGTTGCTTGTTGAGTAAGTGAGGCCAAGTATTCACTTTCTGGATACGTAGCTAGAACACGATTTAACAATTTTTCTCCTTCCATTCCACAAGATGCAATTGTTTCCAGTGAACTCCGTCTATTTTTGCTTCACTTCAAAAAAATTTGCAGTTGATGTATTGATTTATATATTATCTGTCAATGTACACATGAAATTACATACACATATATTTTATTGACCACAAACAAGTGTAGATCACACAGGTCTAAAGTACCATTCGTTTAGAGAAGGACATGAATAGGCTGCTTGGACCACAACCAGATTTACAGACATC